ATAGCATCGAGTGATCTTGCAACGACGGCATTTCAAACAACTAATCGCATCGTCGATTTCACATTCCTTCCTTCGACGATCCTTACCTACCGGTGCCATTTCCGACACACATCCCTGATAGCATCACTTTCGGCCGTTTACCCCTCTCCGCCACATCCACGCCAAAGCACGTTAAGAACAGGCCAAACACCCAGTTCAGACTTTGTCACCATTAGCTCATTCACAACTACGATGGCGCACGTTTCGTACGATCAAAGCCATGTCTACATCAAGTCGGAGGCGGGCCTCGACCAAAAGCAAACCTTAACTCCCGGACCGAGTCCAACGATGTCAGCTGCACCGTTTCCGCCAGGCCCGAGCAACGTCAAGATGGAGCAGACTCCTGAACCTTATAACATCAAGCAAGAGGAGTATCTCCAACAAGAACGAGAGAGCACCGTAGGTACTATGGATGCAACCACACGCACCACGAACTGGGTACTACAAGGGAACAACGGCACTGTCGGTCAGGCTGTACCAGCTCTTGGGTCAGCTTTTTCGACACCGGTTCCAACTACTCAGGCAGCGACTGCCCCAGCTGCTCAGACGACGGCAGCTCAGATCACCCAGAACTCCATGGCGTCTAGCAGATACGCCCAACCAGAGATCCAGGCCGACCCGTCTCCAGCGGCATTGAACCGTCTGGCATCCAAGAGACTCCTCGAAGATGATTCTTTCTGTACAGGATCACCAACAAACAAGCGCATCAAAGCCGAGCCATCCTCCTCAGTCTCCGGCACCGGCGTTCCTCGCATCAAGTTGGAGCCCTCCAGCTCCCACACAGAAACCCCTCCTATGCACCGCGCACCCGAGAACGACATAACCGAAATCATCAAGACATGCACAAAAGTCAACCTCAAACCTTTTGAACTCGAGTACCTCAGCAAGATCCAAACTAGAATCGACTGGGTCTTCAACCATGGCGCAAAGTCTTTCGACATCCTTTCCGAGATCAAGGCAATGCCGAATAACCCGCCTGATTCCTACACGTTTAGTCTCAAGCCCGAACAGAATCGCCGCATCGGCGAATTGCAGAAGAGGATGAAGGACGCTCAGACTCAATTTAATGCTCAGGGTGTGAAAGCCAACCCACTCTCGACTCCTAAGGGCAGGAAGATCAAGAATTGTCGGGCGAGGACTGCGAAGTCGCCGTCGGTATCCGCAGAGCAGGGATTCAAGGTTGAGAAGCTTTTGGGCATGCTGATGCTGAATGACGAGTCTGGGGCTGCTGTTGCTCAAGCGGCGTCCAACTTGCTTGCTAGTAGGGGGCTGAAGTTTACTCTGTGTGGAAAGGAGTTGCGGTTGGTGGAATCGTAGATGCAATCGCGGTGCTGTTGGATGTTTTGTATTTTTTTGGGGAATCTGTAGCCAAAATGGCTTTCTTGTGTTACTAGTACTAGGAGGTGGCTCTCTGGATTTTGTGCAGGTAGACTCGTGGTCTCTGTCAAGCACTCTTTATAGTTTCATTGTTGTACCTATGTAGTCTCTGTTCGATGTAACATTGAATCTACTGAAATATCTCAACTGCTTTCTTGGCTGTGTCGCTATAGGTCTCGTGTGTCGCTGGGGGAGAAGCTCTTGATGACCGTCTACATGAACTCTGACAACGGAGCACTATCAGCACTTCAGCGACCCTTCGACTTCCTTCTCACATGTAACCTTTGTGGATGGCCGATCTACGTAGGCATTGCAGTTTGTGTCAGAAACACCGGACCATGTGTGGCGGCGCAACGCGCATGCAGCATAAATACCCAACGTCATCGTCCCCGCACAACCCAGGGGAAAGCGATTTGTCGCTGTGACCATTTCGGGGTTATAGATACCATCCAAAGAAAATCAGACCTTGTAGTGAGCTCAAGGTCAACAAATGTTATCAATAGAAAATCGATTCGAACATCATTCCCGTGAATTTTCTCGACATTTGCAGGACACCTCACAGTCGGGGAGCTGCTAGCGCGTTGCACTCGCGACCGAAGTTCAACAGGGCACAACGCGCATCCGCAACCCACCGTTCGCAACTTATCGCACATGTCAAGCACTGTCATCCGCCCACTCTGAGTGACGCGCGCAAGATCGCAAGAGGTACTGCAACGGATAGCGAAATCAAAAAAGCAATTCCATCGACTTCCCGCTTCCGGTGCCCTTTCCGAACGTCCAGCGGTCGCACCTTCCACCTCGACTTACATTCGGCAATCGCCTACAACACACGTCATGATGCGCTGGCTCAGAGGCAGCACTGCGGCAGGAACGCCGGGCGCAGAGGAAGGAATTGGTAAAGAAAATGTCATGCCAATGGCATCAGACAACGTCAATGCCGAGGGCGCGGAGGACGAGGTTGAGACCTCGAAGAAGCCGTTGCGCAACACCCCGCGCCGTGCTGCAGCAAAGTCCAAGAAGAGCGCTCCTGCCAAAGCTTCGCCCGCGAAGGCTGCGACTCCCCTGCGACGGTCCACGCGCGCGCAATCGAGAAAGAGCGGGGGCTTCTTCGACGCGGCACAGGAAGCCACGCCAGACCCGATGTCAATCGCCTCGATCATAGATGCACCTCCGACATCGACACCACCACATCCCGAATTCAGTGCTGCCGACGAAGCACAAATGTTACAAGATCTGGACAACACGGACGAAAGTCACGTCGAGTTGGGTGAGATGGGGATGCCGCAACACGTCGTCTCTCACACTCAGGAAGACGAGAGTCGCGTCTCGTTGGGTGAGATGGAAGTGCCACAGCAAGTCATCTCTTACACTCACCCAGACGGGACGGTGGCAGAAGTTGCAAGTGGAGAGCCAGCGGCTGAGATGTCTGCGTCTCTGCGAGATGCTGTCGCTTCAGAAGAGGCTGTCGCTGTACAGGAGACTGCTGCTGTACAGGAGACTGCCACTTCACGAGCGACGGAAGACACTCACGCGGTTTACTCAGCTACGCCGGCTTTCTATTATGCCAGCCAGAACTCGACGCTTCCTGTAGATAATCTAACAATCTCCGCGACCGGCACATGCTACGTTCCATCATCGTTCCGCCCCGATGGCTCCATCCGTAGAGAGATTCGGATTCGTCCTGGCCACGCCTCATCGGTGCCTACGAATACGGAACCTAACATCAAATTCATCCCAAACCTATCGGCATCTGAAGCACTCCCATCACAAACCGACATCGCTCAGTCGTCAATTCCAGCCCCGTCGACCTCTAACCAATCGAATGAGTCCTTTACAAGCCACAGAGCTATACGCCCAGGAGGATTCCTTACTAGCAGATACGCAGACGTCCCAGCTGCAACACTAACACAAGCGTCGGGTTTCACTACGCCGTTCTCCGCATATGCAGCAAACGTCAACTCAGGGAAACGTCGACATGTCGAGGAAGAGAACGAGGGACCATCGGGATTTCAGGATGAGCGCTCAGCGAAACGCATGCGTACCACGAACAGTCGCGAGTCCATAGGTGACCGCCGTACGGCAGTTCCTCAAATACTTCCCAGCCCTTATGACAGATACGAATGGGCGCTTATCAATGACAACATGAGGGATAGCCAGGATCAAAGCATGGTCTCTGAACCTGAAGAGACGCCAGAACGGTCAATTGTTGGTCAAGACATCGTCGATAGAGAGCCAGTAATCAAGACTGAGCCCGTTGACGATGCACCAAGCAACTCAGCTGTGATCCCACCAGCTCCCCAACCCCCTCTGACGCCAGCTCAGTCCAATTCACCAAGTGTACGACAGCCACCGACCGCATCAATAGCAACACAAGGTCCGACCTCGCAAGCTCCGGTCTCAGCTCCCGAGTATATCGACCTTTTTGAACTCTGCATACCACGCTTTGGCAAGCGCCAACCGATACAGCTCGAGCTAAATAAAATCAGAGAAATAGAAACAAAGACAGCGCTGATATTGAGTGGTCATAAGGAGAAAGTCGACATTCTAGGCCAACTCCCTCCTTGGATGCGGGTCAATATTTCGAGGAAGCAAAGACAGTTGATTAACGATCTCGTGAGGCGTATCAAAGCAGCGAAAGCAGGCCAGCATAGCTATGCCGACGTGAGAAGTTTCAACGCCACCCCGAGTGGGTCTACGCCAGCACCCACAAGAGCCACAGCAGTACCAGTCACACAGACATACCAGCAGAAATCTGTCATGGCCGCGCCAACACCACCCCAAGCTCAATTGTTGGCACCTCAACAAGCCCGTCAACCCTACGGTCTCGACCCCCTCAAGTACGAGAACACATTCGGTCCAGCTCTGGTATACAGCGCACTGGAACAAGTCAACAATATGCTAGGAGCGTTTGGAGTCAACGCACGCTGTTACCCCAGTGGCATGGACTCGATAACTCTAAAGAACCAAAGTATAGTGCCGCCTCCTCCTCCGACTGGCTGCATGCTTCTTTCACTGGAGAACATGCCCTACGTCAAACTGGCTGGGCCGGCTCTGGTGAACCACGCGTTACACCAGGTCAACGACATGACCAGCTCATTGTGGCCTGGACAGTTTGTGTTGCATGGGAAGGACATGCTGCTGTTGCAGTCGTAGTTTGTTGCATCGTGGCGATAGCACTGTAGTTATCTTCGAGCTTTCAATGGCAACAAGATACTTGTGGTATAGATTCTCTTCTTGTATAATATTAGTACCGTTTCCGCGGGTCCAGACTTTCTCATGATAGTTCAGAGTACCTTGAACGTCTAATGAAATTGCTTATCAGAATCCTCTGGTGATTCGCAAAACTTCTGATCACATATACATGAACAATGCGGTAGCACGTTGACATACTGCCGTCACTTCAAAGTATACGCTTCCGCAAGACAAACCACACGGAGTGTCATGACTTCAAGGTCATCATTGAAAGTTGTTCATTTTCATGCCGGTGTACCCAGCACTATCGTTGGATACATACGTGAGGTCCTGAATGTAATACCCCGCGCCATAACCCTGAATGCTAAAAAGAACCCATGCAGAAACACCCTCTAGTACCTCTTACCCTCGCGGAGGATGTCGCTGTACTCCTCAAGCGGGGATGGTGTGAGCTTCTTCTCCGCCCACAGGTTGGGGGTGAGGAAACCGTAGGTGTGTGCGACGGCGACGAAGGTAGCCTTCAGGGTGTTCTCAAGGGTCTTGGTGGAACCGGAAGAGGCAGTGTAGATGTCGGCAACACCAGCCAATTGCAAGAGACGCTTGACGGCGGGCGATGCGACAAGGCCGGTACCACGGGGAGCGGGAATGAGACGGACAGTGACGGAACCGCACTTTCCGCTCTCCTTGGTGGGGAGCGAGTGAGGCTCACCAAGGTTGGTACCCCAGTAACCTCTTCGGATGGGGACGACGGAGAGCTTGGCGATGATGATGGCGGCGCGGATGGCAGTTGCGACTTCCTTGGAGGTCTTGATACCGAGACCGATGTGACCCTCGGAGTCACCGATGACGACGATGGCCTTGAAGCGGGTACGCTGACCGGCACGGGTCTGCTTCTGGACGGGCTTGATCTTCATGACCTCGTCCTTGAGCTTGGGAAGGAAGAAGTCGACGACCTGGTACTCCTTGATGGGGAGAGAGTGGAGGTAGCTGTCCACAGTCAGTAAATATTCCCACCCCATTGTCGCCTCAGAACGTACATCTCCTCCATGCTCTTGATCTTGCCGGCCTTTACGAGACGGCCGAGCTTGGTGACGGGCTGCCATTCCTTCTCCTATGCCAATTGTCAATTTCCCGCGCTTTATGCCTCCAAGATATTTTGTATGCGTACTTCGGTCTTTCCGCCACGGCGGCCACGGCCACGTCCGCGACCACGTCCACGGTCACCACCGCGGTCTCCACGAGAACCGAATCCGCCGCGAGCGGGGGCAGGAGCGTCAGCCATGATGTATGTTGGTGGGGTATACGGCTGCTGGAGTTGCGATTAGCGACGGCTGAGAGGGTGAGGAGAGGTGGAAGAGCGTACGATTTGGAGTTCCTGGGAGTTAGTGCGTGCTGTTGTCGCGGTCGCACTTGCAACTTTCGATATTGAAATGCTCGCTTAGGTCGTGGATGACGCTAGCCGCATGTGGCTTGGCGCAACCAGGCTGCATATGGTATGCCCAAGTGAATAATCCACGGGTGATCACCACGACTGCAAGGCGCAATTCTTGGAGGCTGTACAGCTGCATTTAGCTAAGTGGTTACCTCTCTGTATCGATAGAGTCTTTCATACCCCAGAATGCAACATTCGAAAGTCGTTTGCCAGGATACTTCACAAGAACCTCGCAAGCACGACGATACGTCTCTAGCTTGCCAGCGCTGTTCCTCCTCCCGAAAACCCTCAAGACTAATCGCATCCCGTGTTCTGCTTGATCGTTCTGTCCATGAATATCGCGTGTCTCATGCTCCCAAGCTGTTTAAGATGACGTGGCTGACTAAGAGCTTGCGGAGCGCGCCTGACTCGTTCACATGCGCGAGGCACCAACGCTACCACATACACAACTACTTCTCACCAACGCCTCTTCAAACATACCATAGAGCGCACAGGAGTCTTATGGTTAATCGTAATGTCTATCTTTAATTCGGTCCTCGGCTCGCTCTCACCGCCGCGGCGATTCAGAAAGTCCTTCGAAGACCCTCACGCGCGCGAACACGAACTACCACTTTACAACTCTCCGCCTTCTCCTCGAATACCACCGCCTGTAACTTCCTCCGTACTATGGCACGCCCCAAGATCCAGTCTTTCTCCGCCGCCGCGCGTTCCCGACGACCTACTAGCTTTGCAACGGCGAGCCAGACATCTCGAACAACAGCTGCAAGAGCTACTTGACGCACAATCTGATGGCCTGATGGGCAGCCTTCGCGCAGGAGACGGTCGCGGATCGAATGGAAGCACCACACCAACTGTTAGCAGTGTTCGGTCCAGTGACCGAGGCGAGGACAGCGGAAACGGCCACAGCGCAACACGGAGCAAGAAAGTGGGACTAAACACAGCAAGGCAAGGCATATCTAAGCGGATAAGGCAACTCGCCAGTATCAAGGCCGAGGAACTAGACCTCTTAGATGAGGATCTGAGGAAACTGCAAAGCACAGTGGAGAAGACCGATGCGTGGAGCCAGAAGCGTGTACGGCTCGCGAAGAAGATCAGGGATATAGAAAGAGAAGACGCTGGCGCAAGAGCACAAACCTTACAAACGGAAGCTTCGAAGCTAGAACAGGAGATTCGACAGAAGGAAGAAGAACTATGGGCGCTGAAGAGACAACACCGGCGAGTCTTGGACGAGCTGGCTGATACGGAAAACTCTGTGGAAGCAAAACTGGCATCGTACAAGACATCGCTGTCACTGTTAGATCGGGAGGTTTCAAACTTCCTTGCCCGACCTCCAAACGCGGACCACGTACCAATGTCGTCCTCTCCGTTCCTCACACTACCCGCGAAGCGAAGAACACTCGAAATGGCGCGCGAATACTGGCAAGACGAGTACACAAGGCTAGCTGAGAGGTGCGAAGAGGTCGACAGAGATCGCGGTGCGCTTGACGAGGGCGCAGTACTATGGACCGACGTCATGAAAAGGGTGGCAGACTACGAGACAACCCTACAAGACTCTATGCGGCCCACGGCACAGAAAAGCTCCCCAGATCCCAATAAGCTTCTCGAGCAAATGGATACAATAATTGCCTACCTCGAAGAGAAGCTAGAATTTGCGTCGTCGCGAAGTTGGAACCTCCTGGTTTGCGCTATCGGTGCCGAGCTGGAAGCGTTCAATCAAGGCAAGAATATGTTAGAAGAGACTCTTGGGTTGAAACGAAAGGGCAAGGAACGAGCTACAGAACCGTTGATAGGTCATGATGGTTTTGAGGCTAGGGAACCAGAGGAGATGACGGGATCTGCGATCAGGATCAGTCGGTCCCCGCCGAAGAAGGCTGCGTCGCCTAGACAAACGTACTTTGACTCTGAAGATGATGATCCGGATCCCGAACTCATGATTTCGCATCAGGATACAGATACTGATTGAGCTCCACGCGGGGTTATTGTCGCGCTGTTCTTCGAGATTAAATACCCTTTTGTTTACCCACGCTTTTTAATCAATGAATCGCCATGCAAGACATACCCTTCTACTTGCTCATGCCAGTAACGTGTCGTCATGTGAACAGCCGTGCTGCGTGGCTCAATCTATCGATAAGAGTGGGGAAAACGGAGATAGCCCGCCTTATTACCGTCACTACTAACAAAGCTCCCGCCCGTTACGAGCATCACCATCATAATCACCTCGGTACAACTTGCGACATCTGCTGGACAGCTTCTCGCAAGTATGAGTTCTTCACACGCCCCGACTAGCCCACCTACCGAGGAGGACACCGCAAGAACCATTGTTTACGATCCAAACGACCCGTTCTGGCGCGATACTGAAGATGATGATGACGACATGGACTTTGTGCCCGCAGAAGAGGGGACCGACGACAATGAGGACGGTGAAGGCGATTTGAGCTTTCATGGTATATTGATCTGCCTTGTATGGCTCATGAACTATTTACTGACATTGTCACAAGATGCTGCCGAACGATTGAGTAACCTCAGCGGAGTGGAGATCGCATTCGAATACACCGACGATAACGACGAAGATGACGACGAAGAAGAGGACGAGGACGAGGATGATGATGACGAGGACGAAGAAGAAGACGAGGACGGGGACGAAGATCCAGACGATCCTCGGCAGCCAGTCATGATTACACGTGAGCAGATAATGCAGTTGCTTGGGCATGCCGGATTAGGGCGGATATTTGCCACCGATTTAATTCCTCGATCCGGGCTTCGGCGACACAGGTTTGACGATGACGAGCAGGAAGATGAAGAGGACAGCAATGCAGGTACCGGCTATGATCCTATTGGTACAAGGTCTTCTGGCAGAAGGCGAGGGCCACGAGGCAGAGACTTGTTTGAAAAGGTGCCCAGTGAAGAAGGCCAGGAACTGATGCAAGGAGGTAATTTCGGAACGAACCCACGACCAGAGGATACTCTCCAGAGGAAAAAGAGGCTAGCATACAACATCATGCGACGTGAGCTAGGCATCGGTGGTGATGGTCGCCAGAAGAATTCCACGAAGCTGTTGAGGCAAGACATGATACCCGAGTCTGTGGCGGACACCATCATACACTACAATGCGCGATGTTATTCGGGACAATTCTCTGACGATGGTAATTTCTTCTTCTCATGCGCTCAGGACTTCAAAGTGCGCATGTACGACACGTCAAATCCATATGACTGGAAGTATTACAAGGCAAGTAACATCCTTGGATTTGAAGCCCTGCAAAACTGACCTGTCGTAGACAGTGAGATATGATGGCGGCCAATGGACTATCACAGATGCTTCATTAAGTCCAGACAACCGTTTCCTGGCATACAGCTCGATTCGAAGTATCGTCGCGCTAGCACACACGGACCCCAGTGACGATTCTGAGCCCCATTACCTCGACTTTTCAGATCTGGGTCGACCGGCCCCGCGTGGATTCCGCGGATACTTTGGTGTAAGATAGTCACACATCCTATTCGACTTCGCAACTGACCGTTCCAGATTTGGTCGATAAGGTTTTCTGGCGATGGACGTGAGATTGTAGCGGGAACAGGAGACAGCTCTGTCTATGTGTATGACATAGAGCGTCGTCAGTCTGTACTGCGCATCCCCGGTCATCAGGACGACGTGAATGCGGTCTGCTTTGGTGACACTAATTCGCCTCATATTCTCTACTCTGGTTCAGACGATACTACACTCAAGGTCTGGGACCGAAGAAGCATGGGCGATGGCCGAGAAGCTGGTGTTTTCCTCGGCCACACCGAGGGACTAACGTATGTCGACAGCAAGGGTGATGGGCGATACGTACTTAGCAACGGCAAGGACCAAACCGCTAAGCTTTGGGATCTGAGGAAAATGATGTCAAAAGAGAAGGCCGATCGCATTGATCCCAACGCATACACCAACCGCTTTGAGTACCGATCCAACGCGTACGACTTCGATGACTACCGCCCACATCCACACGACTGCTCGCTTGTCACCTTCCGAGGGCACAAGGTCTTGAAGACGCTTATCCGATGCCACTTCTCACCACCCGGTAGCACAGACTCGCGATATGTCTACTCCGGCAGCTACGATGGATCGGTCTACATCTGGAACCTGGATGCGACACTTGCTGGAAAAGTCGATGTTCTCAAAGCGACCAGAAACTCAAGGCCACGTGAAACAGATCTTCTCTCTGGCATGTACGATCACTGGGGTAGGAATGAAGGCAGATGGCAGACCTGTGTTCGGGATGCAAGCTGGCATCCAAATGCGCCCATGATTGCTGGTAAGCATCTATATATTCTGTATTTTCTCGGTTCTTTTGCTGACCGTCGCTAGCGACTTCATGGAATGGCTGGGGAACCTCACAGGGAACTTGCACGGTCCACACATGGAATGACGGCCTTGAAGAAGATGAGGCGGAGCCGAAGATTGGAAGGCGGGTCAATCACATGTTGCATCATGACGAGCGGCTCTACAATACCGAAGGCAGGACGAGAAGGCATCCTATGTGGTACGAAGACATGATGAATGAGGAGTGAAAGCTCCTGCATCAGCTGACCCTACCAGACTTCCGATGAACGGGCGAACGTAGGCATTGTATATAGGGATCTAGGAAGGAGTTTAGGAGGTTATTGTATATACGCGGAGACTTTCGGTTCTGGATCAGTCGACTCTGGCGCACGATTCAGTTTACATCACGTCATATGGTCCGCAAGCTCCATCAACGTGAATGTTGCGCATGCCTAAATTTGGATATAATCAAACTCCCGCTGACCAAACCTCCGTACTATACAGCCATTTTGAGTATGCCATATGTCCTCTATGGAGCCCACAAGGTAAAGGCCGGTCTTTCCACTCCCAATGCCCCTAATACAAGATGATATGATGAACGGACCGGTGTCGTGGTCGAAGATGCAAAGGGAAGAGAATCGATGTGTTGTGGCGTAGTAGCGTCTATGAGCCGCCGACGAGGATGTTGTTTACGGGGATGTGGACCAGCTTGACGACGTAGCCGATGACTCCTGCAAGATGGTCAGTCTGATGGATATGGGGCGTATATGCGACCTGTCACTAACCCATGATCAGGAAACCGATTCCTACTGCTTGCGATATCCTGATGAACTCCTTCTTGTCGGGCTCTGCGGTTGTGTTAGATGCGTCGTCATCGGCTTGGAGAAGCGGTCGTACTGGTGCAGCGGTTCATGAACAGAGTACCCTCCCGGAGGAACTCAGCGGGCATACTGCGCGGAGGTTAGCCATTGCTCTCTCATCGTGCGATTGCCGTCGGGCTTACTCAGCGAATTCCTTGACGTTCTCCATGGCGACTGATACGTGACTGTTGATTTGTGGGGTGGGTGGAGCTGTCGTGAGTGAATTGTCGAGTTGAATGTATCGCGGGTTGTCGGAGTAGTCGCGAACTCAGGGTAGCAGCTGCCAAATTACCAGACGGACGCAATCTGGCCTTGCGGAGAAACCCGACAGGGGTAGGTGTTGCGCCAAGCACGCTAAGCGGCGACGCTAACTTCGAGCTATCGCATCCGCGTCGTCGTCTGTCGCTCACCATCACTCGTGCTCGCGCCGACAAGTCGACTCTACCCACTTCCCCAGGTTTGTCACTCAACGCAGTCACTCACTACGCAACAGAGCCGCCCACGAGACACGCGACCGCGACCCGCTTGCTTACGTCGACTCACGCGCAGAGTCAAGGGTTGAAGGGGAACGTGTTTGGCATTTGACTCGAGCTCGTCCTCGTTGCTCTCCATTTCTTCTTATTCCTGGTAGCGCACGATTCAGCGCCGCATCAATTCGAAGGGACATTGTATACAGCAACTTCGCTTCGCGCACACTGTACTGGAAGCTAGCAATAGCAAGCGCAGGAGGCAGGCTGAGGCTTCACACACACATCTCTCACACCACATCCTGTACCTTTTACATCTCCGCATCTGCCAGGGGCGATCGGACTACCCCGTCTTGCACTGAGCTGTCTTTCTGGACCTTGTCACCACGCGCCGACAGCGGCACTGTACGTATGGCCTTACACTCTACGCTGTTTGTCTCTTCTCTCGCTTTCGCATTGCAACGGACGGCCAACGCATACTTTCTTTTATCACCCCTCTATCTCATCATGCTGATTTGTATGCCAATCACAGAATTGCATGTACTTTGGCTATTGATACTAGCACATCAAGTACCTAAAAGCGAATTAAAGAAAGAATACCGGAACAAACCTCATCGCTTACTGCAGTTGACTTGACATACCACAGCAGACATGGCTGACGACGACAACTTCGATATCGACATCTACGGCGATGACTCCTACCAAGACTCGACCGCGCAGCAAGACACCACCGTAACCGACGCCAACACTCCCAACACAGATGCGAACGCTGCGACATCAAACAACGCACCGGATACCACGAAGGCGGAAAACGGCGATCAAGCGATCAAAGAGTCCACAGAGGACGCAACAAACGGGGATGGCCATCATGACCAGAGCACCCAACAGATAGCATCCACAGGGGGTGCGGCTGGCCTCGACGTTCACAAACAAGCACCTCAGCAACAGGGTACAAAGCGCAAGCAGGGTGAGGACGATGATCGCCCGACTGATCCCGGCGCGACCGCAGCGCTTATGATCAACGACGTAAACTGGTGGATCAGCGAAGAAGACATCCGCGGATGGGCTAATCAGAGTGGTTGCGAAGACGAACTTGTCGAGGTAACCTTCAATGAGCACAAGGTCAACGGCAAGAGCAAAGGGTTAGTCACTCTATGGCTTTGAGGTACACCAGGCTAATCACTCTCGTAGTCAAGTCTTCGCTCTTTTGAACTCACCCCAAGCAGCCACTGCTTTGAAGCACCAGATCGAGAACCTCTTCCGAGACCAAGCCCACACGAAGAAGCCGACCGCCATCTTCAGTCCTCCACACGTCAATCCGTTTAAGACACTACCAAAGGATGTCCCCGCGCGCGACAAGGGTAGGAACGATCGCGCTACTTCCGGCAACTACGGCAACCAAGGTGGATATAACAACAGAGGCGGATACAACAACAACCGTGGCAACTTTAACAGAGGAGGCATGGGCTACCAAAATAACCGTAACTTCTCTCCTGCTGGTGGTAACATGGGCGGCAACATGGGAGGCTACGGGGCTCAAGCACCAATGGGCAACTTCGGCAACCCTATGGGCGGTATGAACAACTTCGGAGGCGGCTTCAACCGCGGTGGTATGATGGGCGGTAATATGCGCGGCGGCATGGGCAATCGTGGTCGTGGTGGCAACATGGGCATGAACCCTATGGGCGGGAACCCCATGGGTGGCATGAACATGCCTATGGGCGGTAACATGATGGGCATGGGAGCCAACATGATGGGTATGGGTGGTGGCAACATGGGCATGATGGGAGGAATGGGTACGTCGAGAAACTTTCATCCTCCGACTAGTGACTTAACCCCCATACTTCTTGGTCCTTCGCTTGGATGATCGCTAACACTGAGACTACAGGAGGTGGCTTCGGCGGCAACCCAGCATTCAACCCAGGGTTCTTCCAAGGCAACCAAGGCGGCAACGATGGCAGCTGGCAGAACCCGCACGGTGCCAAGAGGCCCCGCCCCGAGTAGGGTTCCGAGCGCGAGCGTCTATACCACGTGCCAAGAGAGCTATGCAAGCCGCATCGTGATTCGTCAGAAGACCGGAGAATCTATTATCGCAAGATGCACGAACGCCATTTTGCCGCGAAGGAGTATAAACGCCAACGCGAGTTGAGAGGCCGTCCTTCCGCAGACGACATGTCTGATAAGACCTTGGACAGGATCATATGCGGCGTTTTTCCTTGAAAACGTTTCGTGTCTCATGCGACACAGTGGGTTAATGACCTTCTTGGTATCTGGTCTTTCTCTTCTTTTTCGGCGTTCTTAGGGCGGTCGGGACGTCTTCCAGGAATCAATCTCTTCTTCAATTGTTTTGCTAGTTCTCTCTCTTGTTTCCCCCAATGGCATACTGTACGTTGATGGTACTCGGAGGCCTCCACCTTTTGATACATCGTTGTCTTAGATCTTTTACTGGGGGTCTTGTCTGCCTTTTGAGTATCGGAAATGTCGCGCGTGTATGCACTGATCACACGTATGGTGACTTGAGCACTTTGCACCCGGTCAGCAGCTTTCACGCCGGTTTGGATACGGAATAACTGTATTACTACTTTTGAAGATAAGTGTCTTCGGCGTTCGCATGTGAGCTACTTACCCTGAGGGCAGGAGACCAAACCGTGATCACAGGAGTGCCAAAATCCTTGGTGGAGAAATGTCGCTTCCCAGGCTAATTTGGAGTCAGGCCCGCGCGGACCTCACATGAACCCAGACTGGGGCTTACAATATCGCTAGGACGCGATGTTTCTACCAAACACAGCAACGACCAATGAAATTCTCTCAATCGACCTCGCTATCTCCTTCCAGGCGCCTTCTATGCTTTTGCTTCCGCACTGGAAAACCGGGTAAGAAGGCGGCTTTTCAATATAAGCAAATGAAAGTGGAAGCTTGGTTGTCGCGCTAACCGCAAGCGGCGACAACTTGGGGTAACAACCTCATTAACATGCGAGGCTTGTAGAGAGGTGGCGAGGGGAGTGTGGGTCAGGCTATATGGAAGAAAATGTGAGGTGAGTTAATTGCGCCAAAGAGATGGGACAGAGTGTATATCTTGCACTTATTCCTGGCCTCTCTGAGAAACAGTCGGTCAGAGCTCTCAAGTATCACAATGAGAATCTCTTACGCAAGCGCAGCAGTGCTGCTAAACAGCGCTTTTGCTGTCGCTCAATGTACGTTTCCCCATGGTCTCGACAGCGGACTATTGGCTAACACAAGGCAGCGACGAACGGCACTGGCGTAAAGTGCCCTTCGAGTTCAAAGTTCGCGTCGATCTCAGCCGGCACTTTCTTCGCAAAGCTGAATCCGGGGTGGAATGTTGGCAATACGCTCGATGCCGTGGAGACTGAAGGCAGCTGGAACAACCCACCTGTTGTAGGAAGCACATTCGACGATGCTAAAAGAGCTGGGTTCAAGAGCATTCGAATTCCTATTACCTGGGCGTACCACTTCACCTCTCAATCGCCCGACTGGACCGTCGATGCCGTATGGCTACAGCGTGTATCAGATGTCGTTGACATGGTCACAGACCGCGGATTGTACGCCATTGTCAACGTCCACCACGATTCTTGGACTTGGGCCGATTTGACAGTAGCGAACACGAATGTCACGGCCGTTGAGGAGAGGCTTGGAAAGTTGTGGGAGCAGATTGGCAAGAAGCTTGCTTGTAAGAGCGAGAAGGTTGCTTTTGAAACGATCAATGAGATTCCAGGTACTACGGCTGAGCATGGCGCTGAGGTCAACAGGCTCAACGATATCTTTCTCAAGGCTATCAATGATGCTGGGGGTCACAATCCGAAGCGTGTTGTTACGCTCGTTGGAGCTGGCGAAGATGGAGTGAAGACGTCGCAGTGGTTTAAGAAGCCTGATCCGAAATTTAAGAACCCCTGGGGCATTCAGTATCACTACTACTCACCTTGTAAGTAACAACGACCTTATTGCAGAAGTATTCTTGACTAATCATGCCACAGACGACTACGTTTTCCAAGCCTGGGGAAAAACTACATGGGGCTCCGACGCCGACAAAGCTACTCTCGAAGCCGACCTCGCCGCCGTCCGCGGCAACTTCACCGATATCCCTCTCGTGATAGGTGAATGGGCTGCATCACCCGTCGCTACTGAGACCGCAGCGCGCTGGCGATACTTCGACTTCTTCCTTCGCACAGCAGCGAAATACAACACTTCGACTATACTCTGGGACAACGGAGCCGACTTCCTTGACCGCGCAACACATGTTTGGCGCGACGAAGTAGCCTTGGACATCTACCGCAATGCAGTAAAAAGCATCCCGAACGCGCTCCCGGAAAGTACTACAGACGGCTCTGCTACAACGCAATCTAGCTCTGCGTACATATACCACCGCAAGAACGAGACCGTAGGAGACGCTACACTAGGCTTCATGTTCAACGGAAACACCCTCAGCAAGATTAGCAAGGGAAGCAGACAACTAGCGAAAGGCAAGGACTACACCGTCTCAGGCGAGAAGATTACCTTCTCAGCTGCATACCTCAAATCGATCATCATGCCTACCTCGCCCATTGGCAGCCTAGCAAACCTGACCTTGGCTTTCAACCGCGGCGCTGCGCTGCAAGTCAACGTTCTCCAGTACACCACACCAGTTCTGTCCAGCACCTCCGGACCCGCGCCGGCAGCCGGCCAAGACCTGCTCATCCCGATTACATGGTCTGGCCAGAACAGACCTGCAGCTATCAAGGCTACCAAAGCCGATGGAACGTATCTGGTGGACGACTGGACTCAGTACCTACCTGTGCTACAGCAGGGTCGAGCGACGTATGGTAACCAGTGGGATTGGACTGCACAGGGTGTTGTTATCAAGGCTGCGGCTTTGGATGCTGTTAGGGCGGCAGGTCAGGCTACGACGTTTATGATTGAGTTTTATCCGAGGGAGCCAGGGAATGCTGTGGAGTACACTGTTACTGTTTGAAAGAAGTAAGGGTTAGAACCTGGCGTACTGTGACGAGTCATAGTTCAGATAGTGATAAAGTTCATGATATGCTGATCTCAACCACCGTTGACTCAATAAATAGCATTACGATCAAAATATATACACTACTCTCTGCAGCGCGAAAGTATGCCAAAAGGACATCCTCACCAAACCTATCCAGCTTAGACGACGGCGCGGGAAACAGGGATGACGATGTCGTCCCGCTTACGGCCGCCACCAATGTCGGTGGTAACCTCGATAGCAGCCTCTCCGTAGACGACAACACCGCTGGGCAGAGTCTCCTGAAGGGTAACGACTACAAGGCAAAAAAAGTTAGTTCGAAGCTATCAGACTGGCATATGGAGATGTAAACGTACGCTTTCCGTCGTAGGTGAAGTCGAATGTCAACTGGTCGCAGCCGTGGAGGTAAGGGTCCTGAGCCTCGACGCAGGTGTTCCTCAGCTCGGCGTACTGGTCGTTTGAGAACTCGGCGTGGAGGTAGATTTGGCCAACGTCGGGTCCGACGGTAATCTCGACGTTCCACTGGCCTTGGTTGTCGCGGGGAAGGACTGCGGCGGAGGCGGTGCTGGCTACGAGAGCGAGGAGGGCGGTGGTGAACTGCATCTTGGTGGTGATGGTGTTGAGAGTGGTTGGTTGGTAGATGGGAATATCGGTAGTAGGAGTAGTAGTAGTAGTGGCGAGGAAGTGATGGATGTTGTTGATGATGTCTGTCTAGCTGAGTGGAATACCGAAATTATATACGCAAAGCCGTAGCTGCCGAGTACCACCGAAATGCACGTTGCTCGTGATTACGGAGTACGAGTACGAGAGCTACAGAAAGCATCTATTTTCACGTTGTAATGCGAGGTGTATCCTGGACCTAGCGGTGTGGAGTTGCCTACCTCTTTCGCACTGATCGTCCGTATGTTCCCCATACAGGGCACCGAGGTACTGTAGCCCTGGGTTCTCAATACTCGCGAGCGCACTGGTTTTGCGCTTCTCCTTTTCGATGCGTTAGTTGACTTATTTTTAGAAAGGTACAAGCTCTGGTCTTGTCGTAAGATGAGGCTGACGTCAAAACATGCGACCGTTACCTAGGTATCGACGATACTAACATCTGACACTCCAAGAACCTTTGAAGACTTAATTATGAGTTTGCGCATTGTTCAGGTTTCTTACTGATGGTCATTTACTTCTTATCGCCATCTCGACTTCGTGGTTTTGGTGAGGAAAGAGTCTGAGCTTCCCGAGGTCTTCACCCACCGGATGAATCGCCCGTAAGCATGGAAGAGGAAGTGGAGAGGAAAATCTCCGAGCTACAATGCTACTGTGGCGCCGTCAAACCGGAACAAGCTTTTCACGCCGAGAACACGAGCGCCAGTCAGGCACGGCACGATATCGTAGCGTTTGATATGTGCGTGCGCTGATAATGACGATGCGAGGCTCACCAAGAGACGATTCCACAACCGACCAGCATTGTGTTAAGACAACCTGGCCGTTGCCGCTGAACCGGGATGCTAGCGGTCGATCACTTCGACTTCATGCGTTCGTATTGTTGCTTTGTTTTCCTTTCTCGAGCATTTATCAATTGCCTTAAGCAGCCATTGACTCCGCGCAGTAGGAGCCTTCTTATGCGACTGTCGCGACGTTTCATCCAAGCCTAACACGAATCACTCAAGGGAATAGCCGTTGGACCAGTCGTTGATTGAAAGTTCTAAAAATGGTCAAATTTGTGGATGGTTGATGTTAAACGATAGAAGTAGCATTGGAACTGATCATTCAAGGAAAATCGTACAACTGTTACGAACTCGTCGCATCGGATCGTTGACGACCTCTTCAGCACTGTGCGTTCGTATTGAAGAGGCATTCGATGTTGCTGGTGGTGGTTGAGCAAAATAAAAACTTAGGGGTGTGACCTCACGAAACTACGTCATTGTCACCCGCCTCTTACGAACGACGACGCCCGGGCCGGCCCAGTTGCAATATCGCCCACCGGCCAATTTGACTGGAGTGTTTAAACGTGGTACCTGTCCCATGAGAGAGCGTCATGAATACCTACTACAACCAGCCTCGGGCGAGCAAGTGCTGATGATAGATGTGTGCAAGGATGTGGACGAAGTGGTGTCAGGGTGATAAGAAGACAAGCGATAGCTTGAGAACATGGTATTTTGTTATCGTATCGCAGCCTCCCATTCCTTCATCGCTGATCTTAGTCTTGCTTCAACGCCGTTCTCGTGCCAAAAGTGCCCTGCGCCTGCAACCTCAACACTGGTAAAGCGTGAATTCGACTCGGCTTTGAGCTGCTCTGACCAGTCCCGGATTTTCTTTGACGAAGCGAAGATATCCTGGTCTCCATAGATGGCTAGGGTTATATGCTTTCCAATCACTTCATGACAGTCGTATTTGGACCTGCTCCAAAACTTGTGTATCAGGGCCGGTGCGGCAAGTGTAGAGGTTGGCGGCGTAAGCGGTGAGATGAGGAGATAGCGTACATCTGGCATTGTAGTCGTCGAATTCTTCTTCTCTGGCTGCGGTATCGGTTCGTGGCTTTCGTGCCGTCGCCTGTGACTGAGGCTTCTTAACCTCGTTCGGATTTCGAGCCGCGAACCGCCCTCTAGACTTCTTCGGACGTCTCTGCTACTCCGGCGCTTCTCTGGACTTGTCTCTTCCCCACCCATTGTAACCTGAGGTCGCGGTTCGTTTCCTGCTCGGCTCTTCCGCCTAGCTCTGGTTTCATCCCGAGCTAGGTTGATCCATTCCAGATTGCTCTGGTCTGCTAGCTTGCCGGCGCGCATAACTATCTCATCCGCCGCAGTACCCACCACTGGAGCGGAGAAGGGTTGTAGTATAGTCGGTACGGGCGGTAGGTGTCTAAGGATGAGAGAGCCGTATGAGTAGCCTCCTAGTATGACTATGGGAGATTCATCGTCATGTGCCGGTGCTGACTCGCTTTGGTTCGATGGTATCGGAGCCTGATCGGGCGCGAAGGTAAGATCGGAGGTAAGACGTGGTCGAAGGCAGGATATATAGTGCATGAAGAATGCGGCGAAGGATGTATAGTCGTCTAGTTCAGGTCTTCCAGACCAACTAGTGCGTCCCTTGGAACCGTGAGCACCTCTAGTATCTGTTAGTCTTGAATTGCTATGGTAAAGAACTGTTATGACAGTACCTGAAGTTGAACGTGCCCACCATCCATCCAGCATGTAGGAACTCCTCCACCACGATGCCAACGACCCGATCATCGTAGCTACCACCCATTGGCGCGTATGGGTGTGCCATGACGATACCTCTCCTCCTCCATTGCGCGATATCGACCGAGTCTTTCGGCTTAGTCAGGGTATCTGGATGGTATACGCGGCAATCGAGTGTCGTGTCATCGTGTATTGACGGTATTGTGAAGCTGTAATGAGCTTCCGGTGGGCGGCGCATCTTCTGGGCCGAATTGAGACCCAGCTGCAGTGCTCATTGCATCTTCGAAAGGTAATGATGCTAGGCAGTAGCCGATAGGACTATATGCACAATGCAGAACGTAGAATGGTCTCACTACGCGGCTGTGCAAGACTGTGGGGTTGGCTCAGAGTTGCGGAGGCGTTCCGTTGATCGCGGGCCCGTGCGACGATGTGTCGAGACGCGTTGGCACACACACGGCAACGGCCCCAATGCACAACCCTGTATTGCAATCAATAAGCCAAGTTCAGGCTAAAGCCACATTCAGTTCGTTCTCTGTACCGTTCAGGCGTCTTTTCGCTGCGTGTCCAGGCGTGAACGGCAGCTAGGATAAAGATGACGCTCCGGGCTGTGCATGTCAGCCTTGACGCAAGCGACTGAGGGCTGATATGCGCACCTCCAACAAGCTCTCAGCCAGCTGGTCTGAGGTAGCAACTAACACTCGACGTTTTACAGATGAATTTGAAGTCACGTTAATCTGACGACACGAGCGCACTCATATCGACTGCCTGTCTCTGCAGGAGGCCCCCCATGTGAGAGACGACCGACTCATGCGATGGACGAAACGTCAAGCACGTGTCGACACATTGACGTTCAGGCCTTCGATTCGATTCGTTGCTGCATGTCTTGCGGCGACCTCATTGAAGAACCGGCTTCGACAGCTATTACAGATTCACCCTTCGAGTACCAACCGCTCGACTGCGAAAATGAGCAACATGTCCGATTAGTACACATACACCCCGGTACAAGACAGGACGATATTGTGTGCGACCTTGTCCATGTCAGTCTAGCAACTGTACCCGTCTACGAAGCGGTTTCCTATACTTGGGCGACGATGACTGGCGATGCTTCCCTCTCCCAATTTGTATTATGTCATGGAAAGCAACTGGCTATCACGAAGAATTGTGAGGCGGCCCTTCGATGCCTCAGAAGAACGCACCGTTCCCGCGTTCTATGGATCGATGCTATGTAAGCTCGTCATGCCGGCTTCATATTCTGTAGCGACTACTTACTCATATAACCAATTAGATGTATCGATCAGAAGAGCACTACAGAAAGAAATCACCAAGTCCGCCTGATGGACGCTGTCTATTCAAACGCCTCTCAAGTGTTGTTGTATCTAGGGTTCCGTAATCCTGGAACGATATCGAGATTATTGGATTACGTAGACAAAAAATCTCGAGGCATCATTACTAGAGATCTTACCATGCCGAAACCCGTGGTCTTGTAATTCCTGCAGCACCCATATTTCAACAGGGTCTGGGTGTTACAGGAGATATCTTTTGCAAAGCTAGCTGTTCTCCACACTGATTATCAGATAATTCATTGGGATGCGCATACGGTTCGGGAGCTCATGTTTCTCTGCAAGAGCCTGAATCACAACCCTCCAGGTGTTCTACACTGGCTCCCTGCAACTCAGCGAGACCAGCACAACTGTCTAGACTTGTTGCATCGGGCCCGTCGCTGCTTGGCCACGGATCCAAGGGACAAAGTTTTCGCTCTCTATAGTTTTCTCCCCGCGTACTTTCGAGAAGCTCTTCCGATAAATTATGCCACGGGCACCGAAGAAGTCTATTGGAACATCGCGACTCATTTAATATCGACTACGAGGCGGCTAGACGTGTTAAAGCACGTACCTCCCTATCAGCCCCTGGATCTCGACCTCATGCCGAGCTGGGTGCCGAATTGGGAGATACGTCATTTCATACACATGGAGCTTCCGAAGTTCACAGCGGTGCAGATGGAAAAGTTTGCGGAGTTTTTTCGCTGTCCAATGTCGATGGAATCATTCTTACATACCGATATACAGCCAACAGCTACACGTACAACACACGAAGAGCACGGGGCGCAGCTCAGCTCTCAACATGATCCCGTCTTATGGTACCGGAACCAAGGTACCAACCTCCACCCTTCGGTAATGGGGAGGGTCTACGCTATGAGAAACTCTAAGATCCCGTGTTTGCGTGTCCGAGCATACCTTCTGGATAAGGTCACTACACATACCTACAAAATACCTTCTTCGTACTTGAACTTCGGCCGGATGCCACATCTACCCCGCTTACAACCCAAAAGTACACCGTTTCTCTATTCGAGAGTGTGCCGCTCCTGTGCCAACGATGAGAAATGGGCATCTTTAGACGAAGCTCTATCTATAAGAAATCGGATTTATCAATGGCGGCAGCTGTCGAATCTGCGTGAAGTAACGAGGAGACTTCTTGGGGAAAAGCAGGCTTTTGAGACACAACAATCGATCGGGTTCACGTTAGTTTCACCTATCAATGAATCACCGGGGCCTCGACGAGTGAGGAAAGTAGAACCAGGGGATACAATCTGGGCTATAGAAGGGCTCGATGTCCCTGTCATCCTGCGTCGTAGGGCACAGGATGGCAAACCGTACTTTGTACTTGTTGGGCAATGCTATCTTCACAGAGCAGGGCTAGACCAAGAGTGCCCTGTATGTGGCTCAGACTCTCAACCATGGTCGATGGAGTACGCGACTATCGACATCTGGTAGCGTAGCAGTGCCTGGAGAGAGAAAGTTCGCCCACGTCGTTTGCGGGTACTGCTCTAATTATCTTATCTCTAAACGTGGAGCTGACCTACTCAGTTAGACTGTTGAGAGTAGATACATCGTCCAGGCAAAATGACACAAACGGTTTCACTGGGTCTTTTCGATGACTTTCCAGAGTTGCGTTCAACATTAGTGTGCTGACGTACAAGCATCAAAGTGGCACTGAGTGGCATTTCAAGATTATAAATTATCCGCATCCATTCTTACCCAAGACATCATGCCCTGAGTAGAGAAAGACACCCGACTACAGCTTTAACAGCCCATACCTTCACAGCGGCCTCAGCGCACCACTCCTATCTTCAGCCCACCTACCAGCGATGGCCTGTCGTGTACTCTTCCCCCAAAATGCCACCGGCATAGCAACCAACCCACCCACAATCTGGAAAATCATGAGTTCAATACCAACCCACACGTATCCATGTGATTCAATCCAGGGCACAAGCGCAAAGCTCATAGCCCAAGTGAGGAAGTAACAACCCCCAAAAACAACAGCAATGGCGGGAGCGGCCCACCGCGGGAAGGCTTCGGTAACCCAAAGCGTGTTCGCAATCATCATTGTTATGAAAGAGAAGCCGTTGATGCCGTATGCGAAGTAGAAAGCAGACGCCCTCCATTGGTACTGCACTGCGAGGCCGTAGATGAGAGAGCTTAGTGCGCCGGTGAGGACGGGGAGGATGTAGCTGACGAGGTAGTGTTCAGCTTCTAGAACACCTTTGTTGCGGCTTGATAGACGTTTGAGCACCTTGCCGAAGAGGATGGCGAAGATGGGCAGGCCGCATAGGGCTCCGATGCCGGATGCGACGTTGACTGTGCCAACAAGGCCGGGTGGTATGTTGTAAGGCGGTGCGATAAGGATCTTTGCGTACGTTGCACCGATAAAGATCATGCTTGCTGAATTGAATGCGGAGGCGACGAAGACCCAGAAGATGAGTGGGTTGACGGCACAGTAACCCATTTGGATAACGCACCGTCCCGCCGAAGCCCATGATGCGAAGGGTGAGCGTGATAGCCCGACCCGGTCACGGAAGCCTGCAAATCCAGTACGCAGCGGGTATTCGGGGAGGTCGCGATAGATCTCGGAGTCTTTTTCGCGGTCTTCGTAGACGGTCAGCTTTTCTGTGGCGCTCTGTAGTAGGATGAGTCCGTTGAAAGCTACTGTTGGTCTCTTGAAGTATGTCTCGGGGTAGAGGAAGAAGGTGACGACGAGCGAGACGACAACGGGAATGGTCCAGTAGTGGTAGAATCGACGCCAGTTGTTGCCGTGGTCGGCTAGGAGAGGTACAAGTGCAACGCCAGAGGTGCCGAAGCAGCCTGCCATGCACCACATGAGGGCTATTCCTATCGATCTCTGGTTGATGTATGTGAGGTCAATGACCATTAGGAAGGCCTGATGCTGTTAGTGAGTGACATTATAGTTGTATTATGGCGCTGCTTACCAGAGACAAAGCGAGTCCTTCTCCCAAGCCGAGGAAACAGACTGCGGCGACAAGCGAACAGAAAGTCTTTGCTTGACCGGCCCATACCATAGCAGCCAGTACGACCGTGGTCGCTATCAGGATCGTAGGCCGACGACCCAACCCGATTGACACTGGCACCCACAGCAAGCACCCAATGCCCATGAGCATTGTCGGGCCTGTCACCAACGCTTTGATTTGCCATTGTGGTATGTCCTAGATGGGATGTGTGAGCGGAGGTGATCTCCAGTAGCTAGAGCGGAACTTACCTCGTCTTGGAACTCTTTTTGGATGCTATTGAGTATGACTGACGCCGCTTGAGCCGCAGTGAGACAGACAACGGAATAGAGGGCTACAGCGAATAACGCTCCGGCTGTCTTCCATCTGCCCCAGTTTAAAGGATCGGCTTTGGAATTTGATGGCATAGGCAGTTTGAGCGTCCTGCCATCGTTTGTGATGAGGAAAGTACTGCCGGCGAGGTTGTATGATTCGCGCTTCGAAGGGTCTGATGTGCCTGGGGTTGTTGACCTGGAGCGATACCCCATAATGGAAGGTACGGATGGCCTCTTGCCGGATGCATCTCCAGTGAGAGGTGCGTATATGGGATGTGGTTCTGAGACTGGAGGAGAGTTGAGTGGTGGAGCCAGCTCCACCATAGGGTGCGGATCTTCCAACGAGGAAGAAGACCTCCCGTTGGAGTATGTTTCGGACATCATGATTTCCATGATAAGATAGGATAAGGAAAGAGTAGCGACACGAGTCACCACACAAGTGGATCGTGAACGGACGGAACAAGGAAACGAAGGAACGACTCTGAAGGATTGGGAACCTGGAAAGCGTGGCGGTCGCTACGATCTATATCCACAAATACTCGAGGCTCGCGCTTTTCGGCGTTGGCGGGTGTGACCGCACTACTGTCGATCCCATCTAGAGTTGAGGCTTGGAAAGAAAGTATAAGCTCCTGTCTCCTCCATCTGAAGCTCGCCAAAGCCACCGCATCACACCGAGCGCAAAGACGAGCAAGGACGCATCGGCATAACTTCAACGCTTCGTGCGCAAGATGCAGATCCTCGTACCGGTTCGAGCAGCGTGCGCGAGCCCGGGAGATGCCTGAAATCGGCCGATTGGTCTGATCGATTATCACGACCCCAGTGGCCTGGGGACTCATGTTGGGCCTCAAACAACAACGTGATCTTCCAAGGGAATGGGCAAAACTACGGCCAATCCGCGGTACCATAGCGTTTCACCTGCCGTGCTGATTCAGGATGAGTGACAGCGGCACTCAACGGCTGCCAGTGCACCGTGTCCGGAGAATGACCGATGACTGCTATTCGCCGTCCATCGACGCGTTTCGGAGCCCCAAGGAAGGTCTGCGAACAACAAACCCGAGGTCTGGGCTAAAACATCGTTATGTTTGATATGTGGCTAGTAAGCGTATATGTGAGTATGCTGATCATGCGAACGACAAGATCATGGCCTGACGGTGTTTACGGATACCGAGCGTCCTCGGTGCTATACCTGCGAAGATCCGGGGAAGCGAGCTCCACGTAATCCTTCTCACCGCAACTGCGAAGACCGCGAAACCTATGAAACCAAGAAAAGCTTGTCGATCAAGCATACGTACAACGACCGCATGCGTGCAGCGGAGAATTTCGTAAGATGAGGCTGGAGAACGTTGGAGACTTGGCCAGCTAAGGGGCGCGCTATTGACCAAGGGTTCCACACCACGTGCAATGATCAGCCGAACAGGCGTTTGCAATCTCGACAAGGCGCGCCCAACTCGATGCTTACGAAATCACGCTGTTCGAGGGCCTCGCAAACCATACGGAGAGGATGGCGCCGAAACCCAGAGGAACTCGGAGAGATCGGACGACATCGCCGGGCAACGAAACCGTTAGCTAGCGCTAAAGCACTGGAACATCCCGCAGCCTGCCACATCTGGCACACTCAGAATTTTGAGTAAATGGCTGCCAAGCATCACGACATCTATTCGTCCGGACAGTCGCCAAGGCCACCGCGAAGCAGAAGACCCCCCGAACCCCCTTATCCTTAACTTCCACCAACAACATTTACGTTTGGCGTGCCAAATAAGCTCTAGGCTACAAGTACTGCCACCAGACGTGCGGACGCTAGAAACGTTATGTCGGCCCGAGCCCGCCTGTCACGAAAGAATGAAGCTCCCCTCCAGTCATCTTCAACGGACGCTTGCTGACTACTGACTTACCAAAGAGGACAAGGCGAGCCAAGGCTATTACTCATCTGCTGTGCTGACTGACTTGAGGCTGGGTTTGTTTGAAATTGCAAAATCGATACCCAACCACCATCGTTGCTAATCATGTCGATCACCACCTGCCTACTTGGGGATCGTAGGAAGAGACTACTTGAGCTTGGGACGCTCCGCATTGCTTGGTAGACCCGAAAGCCTTGCTTTGGTTGCGAAAGCTTCACGAGGCTGTGTCTGTTGTTTGCTGCGGACACTGGGCGGCTAGGTTGGACGACTGGAGTTAACTCCGACGAGCAATCTCGATTACGCACGTTACGCACGCCACAGGAGTTTTGCAATTATGGATTATGAAGATTAACATTTTGTTCTTGAGTTCATATGTAATCATGTGTTGTGGCTTCAGGCGATGTGTTTCCACCAGTGTAGTGGGAGTCACAGAAACGATAGCGGTTTCGATAGGTTATGCTAAAGATCAGCCAGTGTGCCCCAGGATTGCGTTCAAGCGATAGTCTTCGTCCGAGTGCATGGCCGTAGCAATACTTGCATTCTGCATACAGTTGGTGTGAAACAAGCTGACGGTCACAAGGCCATTATCTTACTCAACACCTTGTAACCAGGAAGCACATCGTCTCCCCCATCACAGTACCAAGACAAGACTCCGGGAGGGCGCGGAAGCAATCGAGAATGGTAAATACCGTATGAGGATGGAATGGGTTATAGCCGTAAGTTCCTTCCGAATGAGGATGAAGACTGCTGCAGTAGCACGAAAATTGGCATGCATGAATGAAGATCAATATCAATATGGATGGGCTTGGGGTATATGCCCCCGAAGAAACCACCGGATCTCGGAGACCGCTCTCCGCTCTTGTCATGACATGATCAATCAGGCTGTACGGGTAAAATCAGCAACAAAGTTTCTTGGGATATTCCTTTTGAAATGGCCATGGTTGACTCCAACTACATAACGATGCCTCTAGAAGATCCGGGTAAAAATCTTGGGGTATCAGGTGCTAGAACTAAAGCGTAAAAAGAGATGTCGGCGAAGCCAAAGGAGATGAGAAAACCAGAAGAAAAGGTACGGTACAAATGCCGCCCATCATCGTACATCATGTCTGACTCGATTGAACGCCGCTTAGGAGAGATGCGTCGTGCAGACACGTTGTGAACAGTGAAAAACACCAAAATGTCGCCCTCTTGGGGGAATGTGGGAACCGTCCAGGTTGAAGATAGAACGTAGAAGCGAAACGGATACCATGGATGACTGAGCATTGAAGGCTTAGCCGTTGTACCAGCCGTTGGCGCCAACTGTTGCCTCTTCTACTTGGCGTTGAGGTATCAGCGATGTTGTGATATCATATGCTTCGATGAACATCCGCCAAGAGGGGAAGTCGAGGCTGAACACGGCCTGGTGTTTTTGTACGTCTCTCTCTCGGTGTTCTGAGACGCCACTGGGTGCTGCAGGTACTGGTAGTAGTTAGTATATGTACGACTCCATTGAACTCGCAAACTTACAAAGTAGCGGAAGTCCATGTGCGTCTTTGACTATCTTGGCATTTCCTTCCTTCACCAGGAAACTGATGTAGAAAAGGTTCTCAACCGTCTGCCCAAAGTCGTGAGGATTTATCGCGAAATCGAGCAAGTTGACTGCGGGTTCCTCTTCGGTGGTCATGGCGATTCTGTGGCGTCTAAGGGCAGCGGTTGGAGCGTCGTCAGTATACTCATCGTCTGGCATTGCGTCGATTTCTTCTTGAACCAATGTCTGGGAAATTGTGATATGCTGTTCCAAGCGTGACCTGATACCTCTAACCAAAGTCGTCAAGTTGTTACTCTCATTTTGCTGAATGTCACCGGTTTGAATCTCTTGGGGTCGAGTCGCTGGACCGAGAGGTTGCCGTTGCGATCGTGCTTTCTTTTGAGTCACACGAACGCGCCTCTGAACTGAGAGTGGACCAAGCAGGAAACTTGATGTTGGCGGTCGCCTGTTGCGCGGGAAGCATGCTCGCCGACCTAGTAATGCCCAGTCGAGCCCATCTGGATCTTCCTCGTCATCATCGCCTACGGCTATTGCGGGTGCGTCTTCCTCGCCTGCAATGTGGCCGCCAGACTTCATAAAGTATATGCATTTTGAAACGAATTGATCCAGATCGATGCCTACACCAGAATTGCCTAAGCTGTTGTTGAGCTTCTTGCCTGCTAGGTCGCTGGCGCTGACCAGGAAGCGGGAGTCAACCGTAGCGTCAGCCGTTTGTCGCACCTTGCCGAACAAGCTGTTTTGCGTCTTGATAGCATCGAGGAGTCCGCTGTCGCGTGATTTGACATAGTCATCGCGATTGTCTGCTATGGTCAGTGATATTCATGCGACAAGGACCAAGTTGCTCGACTTACCTTCCAGCATGCGATGGTTATCGCGCATGTTCGCTCGCAGTCTCCTTCGCTGCTCGGGATTCTGGTTTGGGTTGTAGTACTTCTGATCGCCTTCCTCATCTGATTCAGGTGGGGGCTGTGAGGGCGTTTCCACTGCGTGCATGTCCTCTTCCTCCTCCTCCTCTTCCTGCTCGTCGTTTACATCCTCGTAAATTTGCTCCTGAGCCATTGCGTAGTTATCGGTTCGCCTCCTCTTACCGCCGTGCCCAGTTGTTGAGCCCGAGTCGGGCGTCGGCATACGCACCGACGCGCTGCGCATACCGCCAGCCTTGCCTCGTCGCGGGGTGTTTGCGCGTGTCTCAGGCTGCTCATTCTCTTTGTCCGAGTTCATTGAGCGCGTCGGACTGAGGACGGAATAGGAAGTGGTGCGCGCATTGCTATCGTTTCGGGGCGCCACGGAGGGGTCGCGATAAAGAGAGTCGACGGTGGAAGCGCGTGTCTGGGGGGTAGCCGAGAGGTGTGTGTTGAGACGCGCCATCCCGCGTCGTGAAAGTGAAAGGGACTAAGGGCGTGGTGGAGGGGTATGCCGGGTCAATGGTGGTGGTGATGCGGGCGATGTCCTGTGCCTGGGACGCGGTTGCCGAAAGTGCAGAGGCTCTAGCGCGACTTTGCTAGAGGCAAGTGCGACCGCGCCTCGTCAGCCAAGCCGTGCAGCACGCGAAAGGGCTCTTTCCATTCGCGGACCCCTGCATGCGCGTCGGCTTGTGGAGCTTCTGACCCGCATAGCTTCATCCAGTGCGCAGTGCAAGTGTCTCTCCTTCACCCCGCCAGACGATGCCATGAACGGGCGTTCCCGCTAGCCACCTCGAAACCTGTCATGTGCTGGTAGGTGATAAGACTTTCACAAGCCTCACACCCATGGCATGCCCTAGCCATCAGCTTCCCCACCGCGCACGATGGAGGCCTTCAACTTTGCGACGTCTCTTGACCTGACCGAGTTGTCGGTTCATGTCCGAATGTAGGCAGCCTCGTAGAATAACTGGATAACTGGATATGTGCTGAGTAATGCAGAGATCGTCTTGATGGGAACCAGAAGCCCATCCCGTACTCGGTGTTGTTGAAGAGGCCGGACCTTAGGCACCGAGCTTCAAATATCAAGTGGGTCGCCTCTCACCTGGTGAGAGAGGAGAGTGGAGTACTGACCAGAGTGTAGCCCAAACTTTGAGCTGTACGTCACCGCGCAGATATGGGCAGATAGCAAGCCCCTCACTGTGCCCGTCCAAACCGCCTACAAGTCCTTCAAGAACGCGCGCATCTGGAACGAATGGCTGCAGCTACCCGTGACGTATGCGAACCTCCCCGCCTCCGCCCAGATAGCCATCACAGTATGGGACCTGTCACCCGCCGAAGACACCGACTCGAGTCTCCATGCCGTGCCCTTTGGTGGCACGACAATACCTCTCTTTGACAACGACAACACGCTCCACAAAGGTCGGCAACGCTGTCGCATACACCGCTTCAAGGCAGCAGATGGCCTCACCAACACTACAACGCCGTGGGTAATACCGCCGGCGCGCAAAAGCAGGAAAGCGCAGGTGGAGGAGGATACCGTGGACGAGCAGGTTGCCGAGATGGAGAGGCTCGAGGGCTTGCTGAAGAAGCAGGAGATGGGCGACCTGCCGACCAACAACTGGCTCGACGGCCTGGTATACAAAAAGATGATGCAAATACGGAAAGAGGCGCTCAAGGCCGAGGCTGCGGCTTTGAACCGCCAGAGCAAGACAAACGGGACCAACGGCTCTGCAGACAGCGAGGACCAGGAACTCTTCTATCTCGACATCGAACTGCCCCGTTTCGACCACGCCATCGTCTTCTCCGACGTCGAATACCCACCGCCCCCCGTATCAGACTTGCGATTGCCAGCCGAAGCCGATGTGAGGTTGCGACCTCCACCCGAAGTGTCATTTGGACCGGGTATTGACATCGACGGTATTGGATACGGTGATGCGGATGCAGGACGGCTCATCAAGATCTACGACCCTGAAGTCGGCCGACGAGTGAACCCTGCCGAAGACAAGCATCGCGAGTTGATGCGCAGCCAGCAGACCGATTCACTCGACCGCGATCGCAAGCCCAACGTACACGTTCGAGATAAGCTCAACCTGCTGCTCTCTAAGGGACCGCTCGAGGAGATCACATCACACGAACGAGACGATATTTGGAAGTTCAGATACTTCTTGCTACGCGACAAGCGGGCCTTGACCAAATTCGTCAAGTGCGTGAACTGGAAGAACCCGCGAGAAGCCCGGCAAGCTGCACCCTTGCTCGATAAATGGGCAGAAATAGATGTCGACGACGCGCTCGAACTCCTTGGACCCCACTTCGACCACCCCGTAGTACGAAGCTACGCTGTCGAGCGCTTGAAGAAAGCCGACGACGAAGAGCTCCAGCTCTACCTTCTACAATTAGTGCAAGCACTCAAGTATGAAGCACCGGGCGAAGGTGATGATTCGTCACTGGCGCGTTTCCTGGTTACTCGCGCAGCCAACAGTTTCACACTGGGCAACTTCTTACATTGGTATCTCATGGTAGAGATCAGCGACTTCAGCACCGACCAGGAGCCAGAACATCGTGAACTCTTTGCTAAGGTCGAATACGACTTCATGGTTGAGCTGGAGAAAACGCCTGAAGGTGTTGAGACCCGCAAGACCTTCCAGCGTCAAGGCGAGCTCCTCACTATCTTGGCCAAAATATCCAAAGACGTGCGCTTTGGTGGAGGAGATCGACCTACTAAGCTTGCCCGTCTCAAGAAGGCGATTGCTGACCCGAAGAACGAGCTCACTAACTTCGACCCACTACCTCTGCCTCTCGATCCTTCCGTATACATCACGGGAATATCGACAGAAGACTGCAATGTTCTGAAATCTTCGTTACTGCCCATGGTACTATCCTTCAAAACGACCACGTCAAACCCGTATCCGATCATATTCAAGACTGGCGATGACCTACGGCAGGATCAACTCGTCATTCAAATCATCACATTGATGGATCGACTTCTTCGCAAGGAGAACCTGGATCTCAAGCTAACACCCTATCGTATTCTAGCTACATCCACCTCCGCAGGCGCCTTCCAATTTGTCCCATCGATGAGTATTGCAGCAGCGTGCCAGAAGCACAAAGGCTCCCTACTTGCCTACCTACGCGCTAATAACCCCGACGACAGCGCCCCACTCGGCGTTCGGAAGGAGGCAATGGACACTTATATCAAGTCCTGCGCTGGTTACTGTGTAATAACGTACCTCCTGGGTGTCGGCGACCGCCATCTCGACAATCTCCTGCTCGCACCATCGGGTGCATTCTTCCACGTAGACTTTGGATACATTCTCGGACGGGACCCGAAGCCTTTTGCACCAGCCATGAAGCTTTGTCGCGAGATGATTGAAGGTATGGGCGGAGTGCAGCACCCGAACTATCTTGTCTTCAAAGAGTACTCCTACACGGCATGGTCTACCTTGCGCAAGTCTTCAAACCTCATCCTCAACCTATTCGCTCTCATGCAGGGAGCCAACATCCCAGATATCAAGGTTGAGAGAGAGGGTAGCGTAAGAAAGGTCCAAGAGCGTATGTGGCTAGGAAAGGGTGTCGGTGGTGCCAAGGGTGAAGACGAGGCAGCGAGAGAATGGGAAGGGCTCGTGGAGGAATCATTGGGTGATTGGAAGGCCGGGGTAATTGACTGGGCACATGAGTTTGTTCAGACCTATTGGCGGAAGTAAACCAGACAACAATAAGCACGATAGGTGGAGCTGTTCCCTTAGTGTAGGGATCCATGCACATGCTGTTGTTTGATAGTGAGGCATCCCCAGTGCCAAGGCTAACCCCGCCAGATCGACGTCTCCAGGGCTAGCACACGGCGCGTATCCCGGTGGAGACTCCGATGGAGAAGCCCCTCTCCACACACTTTGGATGTTGTATGACTTCACTCACGAAACGTGCCACCGGAGGAATGCAAATGGCGGGTTTCCCAATCGCGAGTACCCGCAGCATCGGTAAGCGTACGTGGAGCTGCTACAATGTAAAAGACGTGTCTATGCCCCTCCATGTCCGGGGCAGTCACACGTATCCGTAGGCTTGCACGGCTACTCAGATAAAAACATCATGTTCACATCCAAGGATAACCGCCTCGTTTTCACATACGATGCTGAACAACTATGGATCGAGCCTTGGGGCCAAAACGCAGTCCGCGTGCGCGCCACCAAGATGCCCACCATGCCACAGGAAGACTGGGCGCTCCTTCCCCAACCCAAGGTCTCTGCCAACATCGACATTGCCAGCAACGACGAGTCAGCAACCCTGACCAATGGCCTCGTCAAAGCCACCATCAGCAAGCGAGGCAAGATCACCATCTCAAACACCAATGGCAAAGTTCTCTTAGAAGAATACGCCCGTAACCGCCGCGATATCGTCGACCCCAAATGCAGCGCGCTGGAAGTCGAAGCCCGGGAATTTTATCCTATTCATGGAGGCGACTACAAGCTTACTGCCCGGTTCGAAAGCCTGGATCCCAAAGAGAAGATTTACGGAATGGGACAGTATCAGCAGCCTTACCTTGATATCAAAGGCACACAACTGGAACTTGCGCACAGGAACTCTCAAGCTAGTGTACCCTTTGCTGTTTCCTCGCTTGGTTATGGATTCTTGTGGAACAACCCGTCGATCGGCAATGTGGTGTTTGGCAAGAACATCATGAGTTTTGAGGCGCTGTCGACCAAAGTCTTGGACTACTGGGTCGTGGCTGGTGACACGCCAGCGCAGATTGTCGAGTCGTATGCCGATGCCACTGGGAAGGTAAGTCCCAATGTTCATGCCATGAGGTGAGTAAGGAGCTAAACATATGCTATTTCAGGTACCAATGATGCCAGAATACGGTCTAGGCTTCTGGCAATGCAAGCTGCGCTACCAGACCCAAGAAGAACTCCTCCAAGTTGCACGAGAGTATCGGAAACGGAATCTCCCTATTGATCTCATCGTAATCGACTTCTTCCACTGGACCATGCAAGGAGACTGGAAGTTCGACCCCAAGTACTGGCCCGATCCCGATGCCATGGTCAAAGAACTCGAGGAGCTCAAGATCGAGCTCATGATATCCATCTGGCCAACTGTCGACCGGCGATCAGAAAACTACGAGGAAATGGTCGAGAAGGGTCTGCTCATCCGGACTGAGCGTGGTGTGCGAACGGCAATGACCTTCCAAGGCCAAACGATCCATTTCGATTCAACGAACCCTGCTGCACGGGAGTACGTATGGAACAAAGCAAAGCAGAACTACTACAAGAAGGGCATCAAAGTCTTCTGGCTCGACGAAGCAGAGCCCGAATACCGCCACTACGACTTCGACAACTACCGCTACCACCTCGGCCCCAACGTACAAATCGGCAATATCTACCCCCGCGAATACTCCCGCGCATTCTACGAAGGCATGGAAGCCGAAGGCCAAAATAACATCGTCAATCTCGTCCGCTGCGCCTGGGCCGGCAGCCAACGCTACGGCGCTCTCGTATGGAGCGGCGACATCTCCTCCTCCTGGGGCACATTCCGCAACCAACTCGCCGCAGGCCTCAACATGGGTCTCTCGGGTCTACCCTGGTGGACAACCGACATAGGAGGTTTCCACGGCGGCAACCCCGATGATGAGGCATTCCGCGAACTCTTCGTGCGCTGGTTCCAATGGGGCACCTTTTGCCCTGTCATGCGCCTACACGGCGACCGCGAGCCACGCCAACCCAAGACCGCAGACAGCCCATCCTGCCGCAGTGGCGCAGACAACGAAGTCTGGTCGTACGGCCCCGCTGTCTACGAGATCTGCAAGAAGTACATGGGTATCCGCGAGGATCTACGTGAGTACACGAGAAAGCTTATGGAGGAGGCGCATCAGAAGGGCTCGCCGGTTATGAGGGCGCTGTTCTATGAGTTCCCGCAGGATAGCAGGTCTTGGGAGGTGGAAGAGCAGTATATGTACGGAGACAGGTACTTGATTTGTCCGGTGCTGGCGAAGGGCCAGACGAAGACGAAGGTTTATCTTCCGCCACTGGAGGGTGGTAAGAAGTGGAAGAGTTTTTGGGGTGGAGAGACGTGGGATGGTGGGAAGGATGTTGAGGTTGAGAGTCCGTTGGAGATTATGCCGGTGTTCGAGCGCGTATAGGATGATGTCGACAGACTCTAATTGAACAATCTATTTCTCTATTAGGGCTTACTTGACTCCAACGCGCATTCTCTTCTTCGTAGAGTAATCGTTGCCATGTCGAAGGTGACCTTGATGTTTGCAGCCCGTGCGAGCCCCACCCTTCCAAGCTCGTGATTACTTCCCAGTTATACTGTAAGCCACGCCATCCTCCGCCTGCCACTAGATCCCATCGCTCCTGCCCCCGCATGCATCTTGGCTGGGTGATCACGATGACTGGGATGCCCTGTCCTTTGTCTAACCTCGAGGTCGAGCTGCCTGGGCATATATCCACGCTTTCTCCGCACAATACCTGCTCCTACCTTTCCAGCGATGACCTCCCCCGGAGCGCAGGAGCGGTTTAATGCAGTGTGTTCAGTATGCGGTCGCGGTTTCGGGAAGCAAGAGCATCTCGTACGTCATATGAGGATCCACACACGCGAACGGCCGTACCCCTGCCCTTCCTGCCACAAGTCCTTCTCACGCCGTGATGTCCTCACCCGTCACATCGCAGCGCACAATGACCACAGCGACGTTACGACTCAGCTTCCCGCATCGCGCGCGTGCTTTCGATGCGCTTCAGATCGCGTCAAATGTTCGCGCGGTCCAAAATGTTCCAGGTGCTTGCAACGTGGCTATAGCTGCCAGTACCCGGCACTCCGTAGCGCGCGAGGCAGAACGGCGGATGCTGGCGCGAATGAGTCCACAGACGCCTTCAGTACTGGGGATCTGCATCCGAATAATGTCGATCGAGACAGCAATGGCGAGTTCAGGACAGCGGACTTCAACGATGCAATAGGACAGTCCTCTGTCAATGCATGGGCGTGGAATAGCAACGTCGACAACAGCTTGCTCGCTTCTGACCCATTCGGCATGCCTGGTTTAAGTCTGTCAGACGTGAACTGGTTATCGCCCCAATACTCAGGCCCCATTGACCTGGATGCACTACTCGCAAACTTCGGAGGCCAAGCTAATGGCACCGTGGAGCAATGGACTTGTTCCATCGCGCCAACAACACCCTCAATACCTGCGATTACCACAACATCACATTCATCAGATCCGAATAGGATCATACCTGATACAGACCAGCAGTCAAAGGATACTGCCTCCGTAATATCTACATCGACATCGGAAAACAGATACTACGTTGATGGGGCAGGTGCCAGAGCCCCGTTCGGTGGCAGATCGCAACACTCGGTTTGCTCAGAAGAAACCATCGACTTGCAAGATGCGGAAGCTAACGATGCTTCTGCATCGCTTGATACCTCTGACGATGACAAATTGTGTCCACCAGCAGCCTATCAATCTCTGCTGGAAGGCATTGCTGCTGAAAGCCGCGATAGCCCAGTCGATCTGAGCGCTTCGAACTTTCCCACGTATGAGCAAGTCGTAATCTCTGTTCGCCACTACTTTGACCATTTCCACCCAGTATTCCCCTTCCTGCGGCGGTCTTCCTTCGCCCAAGATGCTTCCAAGAGCTGGCTCTTGCTAATCGCCGTCTCTGTTATCGGCTCAAAGTACTCACGGCTATTGCAGCATTCCCAAACAAGCGAATCCCTATTTGGTCTGCTGAGTACAATTCTCACCCGAAGCAAGTATGGACTAGACCCACAAGATTCGGCAGGTAACGAGGACGTCGATTACAGCCCGAGCTGTTCCCAGTTCGTTGCCCACCCAGATCTACGGATTCTACAAGCCGGCATCCTGAATATCGCTTGCATGCTGCATTCAGGCAGGAAAATTCTGGTAGAACGTGCCCATGTAGAACGACACTATCTAGTAGAGGGCTGCCACACACTCCGTCTACTTGTTCAGACGAAGAAGTCTTACGATCTGACAAGGACGGCTGATCCTGAGCAAAACCCCGACTTTCGTGAATGGGTGTCGAGAGAAGCAATGGTTCGTACTGGGATGATGGTTTGGGTAATTTGTTCTTATTGTTATCGAAAGACGCGTAGCTAACTGCAGCAGACACTCGATACGATGTTCGTGTATCAGTTTCAGGCCAAGCCCCTCATCCAGTTCGACGATATTGACGTATTGTTGCCATGTCACGAGGATGTATGGGACCAACCAGGCTTAATTCGACAGAACCAAAGGCGTCTTACAAGTGTTACCTTTATGGAAGCACTAGAGATGATCTACGTGGAAAAGCGGCTACCCGTCGATTTAGGAGAGTTCAGCATGGGTTTACTTGTCAGTGCCATCTATCGCCATACCCGGGATGTTGTGGCCCGAGATCGCATTCGTCTTAACTCATGGACACCAACATCTACGCCACAGCGACGTAGCGATATGCCACCACCCATACAACAAGACTGGTCGCCGACAACGCGGTCTTCAATCAAGTGGCGTAACAGCGCCTGTGATAGCTTGGATGTCCTGCATTGGCCTGCGAATAGTAAGGTCGCACGCCACTCAGGCTTCGAGCACCACACTATCCTCCAGCTGCATCTAGCTCGTCTGATCATACTTGCGCCCACTAGCGCCATACAACGGTTTGTATCGGGATCTGCATCCAACGAAGCCACGCTAGTCGATGCCGAAGACGGACAGTCATTCGCGACGGCGCGAATTCAGGTCCTACAGTGGGTGATTCGAGATCACTGCAAAGCTAGATTGTGTCTGGTGCACTGTGGGGCCCTTTTCTGGCACGTTCGCAGGTACAGTTGTCGCAGCCTGTTCGAGCCATATGCGATCTACATCGCGACACTCATACTTTGGGCCTTCTGCGTCTGCATGCATCTTCCCGAAGCCGTTGAAGCCATTGGTTCTGAGTCAGATGAGGAACCGGAACCATCGTTCCTCCATCTTGACCGGCCACTGGACGATGAGCTAGTACAGACGTATGTGCGTGTGGGGCATAAGATGTCCGCATACATTGCCAATGTCGGCAGTCTAGAGCATGAAGCAGCTCCGGTGCGGATTGCGAAAGAAGGGATCTCAATTTTAGCCAAAAGTTCTGGAATTTCATCAAGTCCAGACGCCAATTCACCGTCTTCTGCGCAAGATGCGGGTCACACATGGGGCATCGAACGGTCTTATATAAACCTGCTTCGACTTCTTACGAAAGAGCGATAATATGAATATCATGCAGTCTGTATCATGCAACGTCCCGACCTTAAGCTTTCACCACATCTCATCTCATCGGAAGAGTAGATCCTGGAAACAGGTTCCCTACAGCTTCCGCTTAGCGTGTCACCCGCCCTCACGATACCTCGGTCATGCCAGCAAGCCCACGATCACGGTAGTACCATGACTGGTAACGGCCAAGTTCTCGTATTCTTCGGCACAATAGACGCCGGAGCCTCACGGCGCTTCTCCATCGGGGGCCTTAGTGAAGGATCCACGCTACCGGTAGAGTGGTCACGCCCCGCACGCGTCTTCCTGGAAAATGCCGCGTCTAGGGACATCTCCACCGGAGTGTGGCCTTTGCAGGAACAGGCCAAGCCTGGCATGCACCCCATGGGGTAGTTGTGTTCCGGTGGAGAAAACCTGGGGTAGCAGCCATGTTCCATGCATGGATGATCGAGCGGCTTGGTGCAGGATGACCGACTATGTATATACCGTGGCCATGTCCGTAGATCCACATACTTCACCACAACCACGAGTTCCTGAGATCTGTATCCGGACTCTTTGGTCCGCTGTCTTCTTGTTGCTTCTACATACCTGGTGCACGCACCGATCCAATCCGACCCATCATGGCAGACATGGACGAAAAGGCCGCGACCATGGAACACCACGAGGTTACCTTCGACCAGGCCAAAGCGGCTGCCGACGAGGAACACGAGATGACGTTGATGCTAGCCATCCGCAAGTACCCCAAAGCTGTGCTCTGGTCGGTATTGCTATCCACCTGCATCATCATGGAAGGATACGACATCGTCCTGATGAGCTCGTTCTTCGCACAGCCGTCCTTCTCGCGCAAATACGGAGAGTTCAATCAACGCACTCAGACGTATGAGATAACAGCATCGTGGCAGAATGGACTCAGCAATGCTGTGAGCGTGGGCACCATCATCGGCGCATTTGCGAATGGGTACTTTATCCATCGATTTGGGTACCGTCCTGTTTTGCTGGTATCGCTTGCCTCTATCTGCGCGCTGATCTTCATCTCTTTCTTCGCGCCCAACGCCCCCGTCCTCCTCGTCGGTCAGTTCCTCTGCGGTATACCCTGGGGTGTCTTCGCGACCATGGCGCCTGCCTACGCCAGCGAGGTGTGTCCGCTAGCTCTGCGAGGCTACCTCACCGTATACGTCAATCTTTGTTGGGCATTTGGGCAACTCATCTCCGCTGGAGTGCAGTCGGCATTCTCAGGCAACAACACACAATGGGCATACCGGATACCCTTTGCCATCCAATGGGCATGGCCTATCCCACTGTTTGCGATCCTCTGGATGGCACCCGAGTCCCCATGGTACCACGTTCGTACCGGCAACCTCGAACTGGCCGAGCAGATGCTTATCCGTCTTGGGTCTGTCTCCCAACGTGATATGGCTAAGCAAAAGGTCGCGATGATGGTTCGCACGAATGAACTAGAGAAGTCACTTGAGGAAAACACATCCTACCTTCAATGCTTCAAGGGCATCGACCGCCGTCGAACGGAAATCGCGTGCATGGTTTTCGCCGCACAGCCCATCTGTGGCTCGGTCATGGGCGGCACTCCCACGTATTTCTTCGTCCAAGCAGGCGTTTCAACCTCTATCTCTTTCAAGATGTCCGTCGGCGGTCTCGGCATGGCATCAGTCGGCACACTAATCTCCTGGGTCCTCATGAGCTACATCGGCCGTCGAAAGCTTTACCTCTGGGGCCTCGGTGGTCTAGCAGCCATCCTTTTCATCGTAGGGTTCATCAGTGTAGGCGCCGGCGACTCGTCCGGCGGCAACTACGCCCAAGCTGCTATGATGATCATCTGGCTTTTCTGGTACTACATGACCGTCGGACCCATCTGCTATGCCATTGTCGGAGAAGTCTCGTCCACGCGTCTTCGCAGCAAGAGTGTGTGTCTGGCCCGCATCAGCTACTACATCGCGCAGATCCTCACCAACGTGATCAACCCGTATATGTTGAACCCCACTGCTGGTGATTGGAAGGGCAAGACGGGCTTCTTCTGGGGTGGAGGCGCGTTGATCTTTTTCGTTTGGACGTTCTTCCGTCTTCCGGAGACGAAGGGCAGGACGTACGAGGAGTTGGATATTATGTTTGCTGAGGGGTTGCCTGCGAGGGCGTTCGCGAAACATAGTATTGATGCTTATGCGTATGCGCATGGGGATGAGGGTGATCGTAAGGTCAAGACTGTGGAGTGAGGGTACACTCTGGGCGCTATCTCGTCCCGTGGTATGTGAGAATACTATTATAAGTAGTAATGCATTCGCTTCAGTGCTACAAGCAAATCTGGGAGTCGCGTGTGGGGTAGACCAGATCCACAGGTTCTCCACTAGTGACAGTGCGGAGATAAGAGCACCTGATAACGCGTTTGATCCGTGCAGCCCCTGCCTCCACGCTACGACGCGTTTGTCTAGAACTTTCGAGCGTCCAAAGCAATGAATCGCTGTGAGGCTGCAGGTACCCGTTCCTATACTCCATTTCCAAAGGGCTACACGCTCAACTTTTCCGCGAGAAAGGCTCTTCCACGCCACCCACCCACCCCACAGCCACAGCAATCCCAACTCCACCTCAACCATGGAGGGCCCCGCGAAGCCCAAGCTACCAGACGCGTACGCGGACCTCGAAGTGAGCCCAGCAGCCTCTAGTGCCGAGATCAAGACCGCCTTCCACCGCCTCGCTCTCCTCCATCATCCCGACAAGAAGGCGCCAGGTGAAGCTGTCGATGCGGCCGACTTCCGACGAATCCAAGAAGCCTACGACATCCTGAGGGATCCGAAAGGCAAGACGCGCTACGATCAGTCTTATAGCAGTATACGGACACAATGGGACACCTACAGGAGGGAACATGCCGAATACATGCGGAATCCCAATGCATGGCGGCAGAAGCAATCCGCAGAGAGAATTCGTGCTCAGGCCGAATCGGATCGCCGTGCGGCGGCCATGCGAAGGGCGGCGGAGGAGCAAGCATGGGCAGAGGCACAGGCTTTCTACGAGGACGAATACGAGTACGAGTACGACGACGACAGCGATTACGAATACTACTCTGGCGGCTATGGCCCTAGCTTTGGAGGTGGCCGCTTCGGTGGTGGCTTTGATGGCTTTGACAGCTGCGACCCGGAGGAAATCCTCTTGGCAGAGTTGCTCCGACGGCGCGAGAACTTCGAAGCTGCGGCTAGACGTAACGCTGAAGAAAGGGCCAGGAAATCGGCGATCGAAGACATCAACAAGCAATGTATCGAGCGACTGAAGAAGGCGGCTGCGGCTCGACAAGCAGAGGGTGATGGTATACGTATCGTCGACCCAGAGAAGAAGCGCGCCATGGCGCAATTATGGGTCATCAGCTTGCAACGCGATTATGATTCTGAACTCCGGAAGGCTGGGTTACGTCCCGACGACGACTCCGTTATGGATCTAGGGTGGGAACGGAAGAAGGGCAGACAAACCTGCCTGTTCTGCGCTGCTCACGTACAGGAATACAGTTATCGCTGTCCAAGCGGCGGAGCTGTTGCCTGCCGGGGTTGCAAGAAGAAGATCGAAGCGTCATCCCCAATTCACCCGTTCAATTTCCACGGCACCGGCGTGGCGCCAAAGAAGGGGAAGGGAAAGAAAGGAAAGGGCGGAAAGAAGCCTCAGACGACTAAACGCCACTCTGATCCGGAAGGATCCGACTCGGTCGAGCGAGACCAGGACGAGGAGCAAACCAATGGAGATGAGGCAGAGCAACCACACAACGCGGAGGAGGAGGCCGCAAAGCGGGCAGCGGAAGAGCTTGCGCGTAAGGAAGAAGCCCAGCGACAGAAACAGGAGCGCAAAGCCGAGGCGTCACGACGAAAAGCAGAGCGTGAAGCACAAGCCAAGCTCGCACGAGAAGCTGAAGAGAAGGCTGCGCAAGAAAACGCGGCGAAAGAAAAGGCTGAAGCGGCCAAAGCTGCACGAGAACTCGCAGCTGCGCAAGAAGCTGCCCGTCTAGTAGCCGAAAAGAAGAAGGAGGCTCGTGAGCGGGAAGCTAGGGAGAAGAAGGCTGCTCGGAAGAAGGCCACGAAAGAGAGGGCCGCTCTTGAGAAGGCAGCACAGAAGAAGGTTGCTGAAGAGAAAATAGCAGATGGTCACGAAGTCCAAGAACTGAACGCTTCCGAACAAGACGCCCAGAAAGTCCAAGAGGTTGTCGAGCAAGAAGCAAAACAAAAGGCTGAAAAAGAAGCGAAAGCGAAGACCAAGCGTGAGGCAAGGGAGCTTGCTGCGCTCGAGGCGAAGGAGCGTGAGATACGGGAAGCTGAAGAATCCGCAGCACACGAAGCCCAGGTGCGTGCAGCACAGGAGGCTCAAGAGCGTGCGGAACGTGAAGCCAAAGAACGAGAGGCCGAGGTACTCGCAGCACAGGAGGCCAACTTTCGCGCTGAACTGGAAGCAAAAGAGACGGCAGAACGCGAGGCCAGGGAAATGTTAGAGCGCGTGGCCAGAGAGACAGTGGAACGTGTTACTAGGGAGACTATAGAACGTGTCACCAAGGAGACGGTCGAGCGTCTCAACAGGGAAATGGCAGAGCGTGACGCAAAGGCTGCTGCAGAACAACAAGCCGAAGCCTTCGCAGAAGCAGGCAATGCGAACGGGTACGAGAACGTAGAGCAGGTGTTGGAACCCTCGTCAACGAACACGCCGCCCGTGCAGCCCTCGGTCGCCACCGATTCAGCAATTTCCAGGAAGACCAAGAAGAAGGCGACTCGTCCACCAGCCACCTGCTACACCTGTAACGAGCAAGGCCATTTCGCCCGCGACTGTCCCATGAAGCCTGTCGAAGCCACCGCTGATAATAAACCCCAACCTCACGCCGGTACAGGGCCTGCGCCGAAGATCGAGGTGACTAGTAAACCGCCGCCACCAACACCTGCACCCGCAAAGGTTGTGGTTAAGCTTCCAGTACCTCGTAAACCGAAAGCAAAAAAGGTCGCAAACGACACCACTGCTGTACCTCCGGAGGCCACTGCACCTTCCATGGACGCCGCGGCTCCTCAAAAGCCTGCTAAACCAATCAAAGCGCCAAAGAAGAAAGCTTTACGTCCAGCGCCTCCGGAGGGCCAAGGGGTCAAGAACGTCCCTACTTTAATTGATCAACCCTCCATTCTACCTCCCACCAACGGTACCGCGAACGTGTCTTTTTCCGAGCAGACAAGCAAGCCAGCCAAGAAGCCGAAGGTGAAAGCCCCGTTGGCTTGTTATGTTTGCAAAGAGGTAGGACACAAAGCGAAGAGCTGCCCTGCACAGCATGAAGGACACATGTTCGATGTTGTCATGTAAAGGCATCGCCTCGTTACCACGCGGGATATAAAGTGCTCTGTACGGCGTTGAATCCATGGAATTGATTTAATGATACCCCATAGCGATGTATTGTCAAACAAGAACGAACACCATAACTAGCACAACAACATGAATGCCCTCTTAGAGCTTCCCACTAAAACAATACAAAAGACAAGTCCCACCACCATCTCACTTCCTACAACTCATTCCTCTCACTCTTCGCCTTAACCTTCAACGCCTCCACCGTAAACCTAACCTCCTTCTCCCCCGTATTCGTATGCCCAACCTTCCCAATCACCGCCCCATCCCTCGGCTCATTACTATACCCCTCCAACCCATCAAACGCACCTTCACACCCCGCCTCCTCAGCATCATCAACCCACAGCGGCAGAATCGGATAAATCGCTCCGGGTGCAAAAAACACCATATCATCCTGCACACTATAATGCCTCTGCAGCATCTCGGTCTTCAGCCACTCCCGCACTTTATACGGCATATCGGCCATGTTCATCTGTATGAGTTCGCGGCCGGTGCCGTGCACGTCGATGCCGCCCCAAGACCCTGCGTAGAGTTGCTTGTTGTAGAAGACTTTTAGTTGGGGGGCTTGGTCTTTTAGGTCGGGGTAGAGTTCGTTGAGCTTGTAGATTTTGGCGTTGTAGGTGTTTTTGGAGTGGCAGTGTTGGGTGTAGGGTTGCAGGGTTGTGGCGTCCCATTGGGCGGTCCAGAGGGCGCCTACAGGCGTGGGCTCGTCGGCGGCGGGTGTGGAGGATGGGGGTGAGGCGTCTGAGTTGGCGTAGGCGGTTGTTGCGAGGAGCGCGGGTGGGAGAAGCGAGAGGAATCGCATGTTGAAAGTACTTCAGTCTTTATTTATCGAAGTGGAGTGATCCCAGACGACGTGAGGATGCAGTCAGTGAGGCTGAGGTGTCGTAAATGCGTGTAAATTCCACAGCATACCGCAGTTCAATCCCAGCTATATATCTCACCATCCATATTTCTTGCGTTCTGTCCTTTTCACCTCGCGCGAGGTCCCATGACGTCTCCGCGTTCCTGTTCCGCTTTCCATATTAAGAGCCAGGGTTGTTAGCGACGCGACAGGAACGCGATAAATTAAAAGAACACGGTGGAGGCACGCTATGATGCTGATCGGCATACAGCTCGCCGAGGAACCGCCCAGTGCGACTCGTTTCGTTGCTTGATGCTTGTGCCTCAGGATGGCGGAGGTTGGAGTGTGGGGAACGCGGGGTGGACGACTGTCGCCGAAGATGAAGCGTCTGCACGTGCAGACGGGCTGAGTAACGCCGCTTGTCTAAATGAGACAGAATTCTTGCTCTTGTAGTTTCCCTTCTTCGACTTCCCTTACGAGCTCGCCGTTCATGATACTGTCGACATATGCTTCGCCTAGCATGAGGTATCTGTCGCCTTTCGGTCGTAACACGCATGGCGCATCAGCCCCGTAAAACACTACGACAATATCACCCTCACGCATACACGCTGGACCAATGCCGTAGTCCTTCTTGTCTGTACAAAAGAAGCGGAAACCGTCGCAGCATAGCCCTATTCGGTCGTGGTATTGGAATGCGTCGCCACTCAAGCTGTCAAACTCCGCCTTTGGGTCACGGTACCATTCAAGGTACTGTTTGAATCCTCCGTAGCTGGCGCGGCTTGACTCGCTACCGAACTCAGTAGAGTTTCTCATCGTATCATCTAAAGTAAGTGTCCGAGCTAACACTGGCAAAGCCACGTCGCTCATGGGGTTATTCCAATTGATCCCTTCGTAAACCTGAACGACTTGGGGATACGTTGGAAGTCCTCCAGACTTAGTGGAAGATGGTAAGTCGAATATCTTATCGACTGTGGTTACTTTGGTGTGAATGATACCGGTGAGGCATAATAGCTCGCCCTC